TGAAAGGGTACTACCACGGGAGTTGGATGATCGACAACCCTATCATTGGTGTTTAGCATTGTAGTCTCCTCCAGCAATAAAGTGCGATCCGAGGGATTGTAATAAGGATTCAAGTAGGCTATACGAGAGGGAATTGCCAGGAGGACAGTATACAGCTTAAAGTGTTAGATGGAAAGGACGAGTTGAGAGGATTACAGAAGTTGACTGAGTGGCATCTGTTGGAATGGAAGGAATAAGGGAATGGGGTAAAGATTTATGGATAAGGATGCAAGAACCGGCGTGGGTAGTGTTTTCTGGGTGGTCAGATCTATAGGTGATGTAGTCACGTATGTAGAAATGTGTCCGTTGGGTGAAGTGAGTTTCTGTTAGGAGGGCAATGTCAATATAATTGTCATGGAGAAATATGTCTAGTTCGTCACGGTGGTTTTGCAGTCCATTAGCGTTCCATAAGAGAATAGCTAGGGGCTTTGTGTTCATTGAGGGAAGTTAAGCGGGATTTGGGAAAGGAGTCTGGTTAGAAGGGTTATGAGCGGTTTGATAGTCTGTTGAAGATCTATCAGGCCGTGAAAAATAATTTTGCATTTTAACAACAAAGATTGTTTTTGTCTTCGCGTGCAATAGTATTATTGCAAATATTGCACTGCACCATGTTTAATTAAAATAGTACAATTAAGATATAAATGAAACCGGGTGAGAGTTGTTTTGATGAAAGCAGTTAACAGTGCTGTCTAATGCTGTAAGCATTAGTAGACGTCTACACTCCCGTAGCTTCTAGAACTCAATTGGATTCACGACACTTTCTTTAAGTAGATAAAAGTGAATATATTACACTAATCACAGTGAATACTAATACTGTTAAAAGAAAAATACAATCAACTATAATGAACTGTACTGAGCATTAAAAGCTTTGTAACAGTTAATAGTATTCAATTTTGTTGAAAACACGGCTACTTTTAGGTGACATTATGAAAAATCAGAACATTTCTTTACACAACTTGAGGTGAATCTCGAGAATTTGATTAGTGGGTGATTACAGATAAGTATCAGAGGGTGGATTCCTTTTGGAGGGAATTTATTAAAAGAAAACGTTTTTATAAAAGTGGTGTATCTGTTGTACAGTCGGATATTAATAAAAAAAAAACACCAATAAGTTATGATTTTTTAACAACAGAACTTAACCAAATTTAGCCGCTCAAAAGCCCTCTTTAAATAGATTTAACAATGACAGATTCTATTCTAATGACGGAAATTTCATCTAGTTTACTGTGAAATAATTGTTAATTACTTAAATTAAATATTTCCTCAGTCATCGCTTCCTATTCATCAATGATTAACTTTAAAAAAACTCTAAACTTGCATTTCATACTTTTCTGAGGGGAGTTGACCCATTGCTTATATGAACTTTTTTCTAGGCCTTGAGGTCTGGTATTACACCAGGAAAATTTTGTTGCCTATGGTATTCTTCGCTAAGCTGTTCGAGAAGATATCACCAGCGCGATGGAGATGGCATTTGAAAAAACTCGGTGACTTCCGAATGAACTGTACAGAAAAGGTTGTGTGGCAACTAATTTAGTAAAAAGAGTATCAACCAGCGATCCATCGGATGGTGTATGAAGCCATTTACAAACACGGACCTGTTACCAAGTTCCCACGTTTTTTTAGGAATGACATGGTCCAAAGGCTGCTCACTTCGCATAGATTTTAGCAATCTAATTAACTATAAGCAATGTACAGATTGAAAACAACTGGATCCTTCAAGAATGCCAGCTATTATATGCAATCACTAGCGGATTGCATTAATTTTTTTGGGGGGGGCTTCAGCCCGAAAGATTTTTTTTTCATAAAAATAATTTTAAAAAAAAAGAAAAAGAAATTAACTACCTATATGAAATGGTTTCCTAAAGTCTTATTAAATGTAATTAAACGAACAAGAATACTTTAAGAGATAGTTTTTAATATTTTTTTCTATAAAACATGGTTATATTTACCATTTTGGGGGGGCTTCAGCCCGAAAGCTCCCCCTCCCTCTCCCCCCACTCGTGGTTTCTGAAACAATGACTTGTAGTAGGAGCCGCCAGACTGTCACTTGTATACCGTATAGTAATAGTCAAAGTGGGGAAATATTAAGAAAGTGACTAGGAGTCTACTGGTTATACAGGGAAATAGGTGACGGAGGTAATTTAGACGTTTTAAGATGGCAAAGGTACGGTAGAAAACATTGGATACATGGTTTTCCCAAGAAAGCGTTTGATTAAAGGTTATTCCAAGGTTTTTGATGGTTGGGTAAAATTTAATGGGATCATGCAGGAACAGAGTTGGAATGTTAGGAACACTTTAATTGGGGCCTATTAAGATTGCCTTCGTATTTTCTGCATTCAACTTCAATTTATTAGCTCTCGCCCAGTCTCAAATCCTACCCAAGTCTTCTTGAAGTTTTTTTTGTGGCTGATAATAGGTCAGAATGCGGGAAGGACACGTATATCTGGAAATCATCTACATAATTATGGTATTAGGAGTGATGGATCAGGAGGGGAAGGTCATTAATCTAAATAACAAACAGAGTAGGATATAGACAGGAACCTTGGGGGACACCACAGGAGAGAGGATGGGTATTACATGGAGGTTGACCTGGGACAACTACATACTGGGACCGATTTGAGAGGAAGAATTTGAACTAATGCAGGGCACTGTTGGATAGAGGAAGATTATGCAATTTAGTAAGGAGGATGTTATTGTCAAACGCTTTGGAAATATCTAAAAGGATTAGGATGGTAAGGTTTCGGTGTTTAGTGGAGTTTTGGAGGTAATAGGTAATTTTAAGGAGATTGGATTGCGTTGAGTAGCTAGATCGAAAGCCAGATTGGAATGGGTTGATAAGGGAACGTTCCTCTAGGAAGTTGGAGAGTTGATTTTGGATAAGGCGCTCTAACGGTTTTGAAAGGCTGGATAGGAGAGAAATAGGACGGAATTCATGCAGTGAGGTAGGGTTGGAAATTTTATTTAAAGGTCAGGCTAGGGTAGTTTTTCAGGAGGATGTGAATATGGAGTTTCGCATTGAAAAGTTGTAGATATAGTAAAGAACAGCAATAAGGACAGGAAATCTGGAATTTATTAGTTTTACTGGAATATTATCAGAACCATAATCATTAGTGTTGAAATTTAAGATAGTGGAAAGTAATTATTCGTAGGACATCTGGAAGTCTTCAGGATTGAGATTGTGATGTTTAATATCGGAAGTAGAAGAAGAATCGTGAGTGAAGGATAAGAAATGGTCTTTGAGATTATCTGGAGTCACCGGTAGTGTTGCAAAATCTCGGTGTTGCTCTTTGGAAGACCAAGACCAAGGCCGCCTAATTGTTGCAAGACCAAGACCAGAACTGGAAAAAAATCGATTTTTTAATAAAAATTAAGGCAAAATAGTTACTAATACTTGGCAATCTTAGTTACTATATGGTAATAATTTGTATAACCAATATACCTTTGCCTTTAAGTCCTTTAATTTTTCATTCGGGCTTAGTTAGGTTGCTCCTATCTAAAACATTACTGAGATTATTAAATCATTAGCTTATTACTATAGAGATATTACTGATATCTCTATAGTAATAAGTAACTGCAAGATTGTTGCGAGACTCTTCCGCTAGACCAAGACCATGACCAAGACTGAGTTTGCAAGAACTGATATTATTTGATTCTGGTAGAGATTACGGAGTATATTCCATTATATAAAAAGTATGTATTTATTATTTGTACCTTATTACTTTTTAATTAAAATACAAAATACTTTGGTTATTTTATATTTGAAATATTTTTTCTCAAAACATTTAAATACTTTTAAATTAAAATTCAGTAATTTTTTTTATTGGAATTTAAATACTGAATTTTAAAATACTTGTTGCTTAGGTTTGTATTGGATCAACTATTGTCAAGTGTAGTTTTCAAAAATATCATATTCATTTTATTATGTTCATTTTACATATTGTATATATATGTGTATATATATATATATATATATATATATATATATATATATATATATATATATATATATATATATATATATATATTGTAACATATTTTATTAGGGCCTTTATAAATTGTAATTGTTAATAGAACTCATGTTCATGTTTTGTTCTTTTATTATTTTGAACTGTGTGAAAAGGAGCATTTATATGTAATATATTTATAAATTTAATTTATTTCTAGATATTGTATTAATTTTAGTTGTGATTTAATTTGAAATTGTAAAAACAATAATAACATTTAACTAGCGATAAGCATTAAAAGGTACGATGTATTAGAGCTAACGGACAGGAGGTCCTTCTCTGTCAAAGGTTGAATTGTAAATGACTAGTGGTATGGTGTTTTGGAGGTTGCGCGTGGCGCCCTCTAGGCGTTGTTCTAATGAACTATTTAATTCATTTATGCAAGTCATTGTTTTTTCTAATAATGATTAATAATTTTAGTAGCGCAACCTGTTAATTTCCTAGTGAACTATAAATTTCATTTAGAAGCTATTTATTATTTCTTTTTATAATTACTGATTTTGTAAATAACTAATGTTTGTAATATTTTTAAAATAAGTATTCATGTACTATAATTAAATAAAAATAAAAGGAGTTTGGACTTAGAGAGATCTCAGGGCCTAATTAAAATAATTGTTACTAGTGTTGTCTCTCACAGGTCTGAGGGCTCACTATTAGTATAAATAGCAGCCTGGCCCCTAGGGCAGGCACTCTCTCCCGAGTCACTACCTTCTCACATAGGCTCCTGGTATCTCTCTGTCTGACAGTTTGAAACCAGACCAATGTGTTATTTTTTGGTTTTACCTTCCTCCTTCTCTCTTCTCTCCTAACCTACCTCCTCTCTCCTTTCGTAGGAATAACTTGGTTGGCCCTTGTTTTCCTACAGTCCCCCTTGCATCTTCCAGGTTGTCCCTGGGAGTGTAGGGTTACCTATCCTCGCAATGTCAGGGGATTGCCTCCTCGGTTGCAGAGCCCTGGATGTGTAGGGGTTGTCCCCCTATCATTCTTGGCGGTCTTACCTTATCCTATCCTCGCAACGTCAGGGGATTGCCTCCTCGGTTGCAGAGCCCTGGATGTGTAGGGGTTGTCCCCCTATCATTCTTGGCGGTCTTACCTTATCCTATCCTCGCAACGTCAGGGGATTGCCTCCTCGGTTGCAGAGCCCTGGATGTGTAGGGGTTGTCCCCCTATCATTCTTGGCGGTCTTACCTTATCCTATCCTCGCAACGTCAGGGGATTGCCTCCTCGGTTGCAGAGCCCTGGATGTGTAGGGGTTGTCCCCCTATCATTCTTGGCGGTCTTACCTTATCCTATCCTCGCAACGTCAGGGGATTGCCTCCTCGGTTGCAGAGCCCTGGATGTGTAGGGGTTGTCCCCCTATCATTCTTGGCGGTCTTACCTTATATACCTTATCCTTCTCATCCTATCTAAGCTTATACACCCCATTCTTACAAACTTAAATAGTTACACGAATACCAGGTTAATTGACTAACAGAAAGATTAAAGGTTAGAAGGACAGATTTCAGATTTTAAAAGACAAACGTCGGCAATAATAGACAGACAGACAGAGAGATAAATAAATGTAAAAATAAAAATATTACAATATATATATATATATATTACTTAATTGTTGTTTTTTATGTATTTCCATAACTTTCCCTTTATATTGGGTTGATAAATAAAATAAATATCAATATGATCCAAGAAATGTTCGCAAGCCAGATTGAAGGTGCTTGCGGGCTGTCGTACTACCACTATTTCAAGTTCAAGGAAAAATTTTGATTCCGGTAGTTTATCTGGTAGTTTAACATTGTGCGGGTCCTTTAATATAATTTGATTTACTGTTTTGGACGAAAAAGAGGACGGCCACTGAGAGATATCTGCAGGTATTTCTGCTGCGGTCGTTGATATAGTTAGTTGTTGCTTCTGCAGCGAATCGAACAGCATTATAAGATTTTTCTTCATCATGTTAATTCAGCATTTCAGCTACATTATTAAAACATTCACTGAAATTATTATACAGTGATTCGTTCGCACGGTTTTGCTTTAATTTTAAGAAATTGGTCTAGTTGTTACTAAAAGAAATAAAAACAGATAGGTAAGATAGGTTACACTCACCCACATCTCATGCTCAGAAAGTATGTTAATGAATGAGTAATCGGAATTAGTATTGCTGTTTTACATGAATTTGGAAAAATCTTTGTTGTTTATCCCATAATTGCATAGTTCAACTTTTAACTAAACCACATTGAATGGATTTTTTTCGCTTTTTTTTTTTGTTTTGTTTTTTTATAATTGATATATTGATTGAAAGTTAAGAACAATAAATTACTATATGCTCGAGATATACACTTTTGGATTTTCCAAGCATTTTTAGAATATTATTTCCTTTAATTAAAACTCAGGTGTTGAAACAAAAATATTATGAATAGATAAAACAGTAAAAACTGAACTAAATCAAGTTTAGACTTTTTAAATTTGATTGGATTTACCAAATTTTCGCCAAATAGCTTAACCCAAAACATTGCCATTCAAAATGAGTAAAGTTATTAGCATGGATTTTATTTGGGTGGGGACGCTGAGCGAAGCTTCCTGGATGAAGCTCTCTTATCTACAACTCGACTGCAATGTATTCGTTGGATCCATAAGCTCTTTCGGTTTTTGAAGGGTGAAATCAAACTTTTTTTCATATAAAGAATAAATTTTACATAATAATTTAGGTACTTATCTAATAGCGGGTAGCGTCCGACTGCCATCTGCCAATGTTTATAACCTTAACACTGATAAGCTCTTCGTATTCATATTTATTGTATTATATTCATATTATTATATGTTCGTATTCATATTTATTGTATTGTATTGATATTATTGAAATTGTGAACAAAAACAGAAACAAATGTAATAATAACAAAATGCTTTTATTTTACAACGTATATATTAAAACAGACCAAAACATTATAAATATATAATTAAAATACATTACGAAAACATTGCAACATATATATAAAAATAAATGAAAGAAACTTCATCTCTATTTAATCTTCCCGTCGAACTTCATTTTATGACCCTCATCACAATATTTCACCTTATCAAATATACCGGCGTCTTGAAAATATTTGATAGCCTCTTCTTCTGAAGACGGCAATGCCCACAATGTGACAAGATCCATAATTAAATAAACTTACACCAGGCACAAGAAACAAAAACTAAAAAACAGAACACGGGCGGATCTACGGGGGGGGGAGCTTTCGGGCTGAAGCCACCCCCCCAAAATAGTAAAATATAACCATGTTTTATGGAAAAAAAACTTTTAAAAATACATCTTAAAGTATTATTGTTCGTGTAATTACATTTAAAAGGACTTAAGGAATCACTTAAACACCATTTCATGTAGGTAGTTAGTTTCTTTCTGTTTTTCCAAAGAAATTATCGTTATTTTTATGAAAAAAAAGCTTTCGGGCTTAAGCCCCCTCCCCCAAAATTAAATCCTGGATCCGCTATTGCAACAGAATAACTTAGGTTAGATGAGATAAGGGAGGTTATCTGAAATGAGATTAGATAAGAAGGGAGGTTTTGACGCTACCCGCTACTAGATAAGTACCATAATTTATTTGCCGTTTTCATTAATACCCCCTTGCCTTCTTTCTAACAATTTCATTATTCTGCTCTCGTAAAACATCTGGTGCTTAGAAGCGAAATACTGATCGAGATACATTTTACCATCTCTCTCATCAGCCGGAATATGTGGTAGCCGGATGGTGCAAGGTCCGGAGAATACGGTGGATATAATAAAACATTCCAACCAAGTTGCATTAACTTTTGCTGTGTGATTATTGCGGAGTGTGGTCTGGCCTTGCCATGATGGAATACAAAACCTTTGCGATTGACCAGTTCTGTGCGTTTCTGTCGAAATTCTTGGTCCAATTTCGTTACCTTGGTACAGTAAATCTTTGAATCAATCGTTTCTCCTTGTGGAAGCAGCTCTTGAAACAGCACGCCGCGATAATCCCACCATATGGAAAGCAAAACCTTTTTTGGATGTAGGCCGCCCTTGGGGAGCGGTATTAGACAGCTCGTCAGCAGTAGTCCACAATCTGCTTCCTGCATTGTCGTAGATTGATATTCGGCCAAGCCGTTTTAAATGCCTTAAGAGAGTTCCAAAACCTATTTTCAGTCTCTCCGCGATTTCTCGTACCTGTAGCGACCGATCTTGTTCGTTTAGAACCTTGATGTCACCCACTAGCGGATCCAGGATTTAATTTTGGGGGCATCAGCCCGAAAGATTAGTTTTCATATATATATAACGATAATTAATTTGAAAAAAAAAGAAGAAAGAAATGAACTACCTATATGAAGTGATTCTTGAAGTCCTAATTACACGAATGATAATTCGTGAGATAATTTTTAATTGAATATTTAATAGTTGACCCTTGCATTATAAAGTAAATAGATGGTCCGGGGTAGCGGTCATAAATAGGCTAAATAGTGGCAAAACTATTATATTAAAAGCCAACGTTTCGACCCGACTTTGCGGGTCTTCTTCGGGGCTAGAACGGACAAGATACAAAAAGATATACAGAATTGTGGAAATTAAATAATATTTAGACAACAAATTATAAACAATGTGAATAAGCTTATTAAAATTATAAACAGTAAGTAAATTAAAATGTATATAGATTAAGCTAAGTAACAAGATCCTTAACTGATGTCAAGAATTACATTACATTACAATTGGATTACAAAAATAATTAAAATTGATTTAAAAATCAATGAAAATAGCTAGGAAAATGAAAATAAAACTGTGCACCCGTCGCACTAGGTAGAACATTTGTACGAAGGTACTATAAACCGAGTGTTTGAGTGTGTTTCATATATGTGCGAAGTTGAATAATTAGCTTCAGGGGGGGAGGGCTAGTAACAATTAGAGACCGGATTCCCTTGTTACTGCACATTTTATTCGCTTACGTGTAAAAACTCCTTACCTGAATATCTGTCCGCTTCAGGATATGTAGAATAGCACATTTAAATTGTATATTGCACTAAATTGCACGTTTTGGGATTAACTTGCACGATTTTGATTTTTGTTACATTAAATTGCACATGGGGGGGGCGGGGTGGCCGAATGGGCTAAAGCGTGTGCACAGCACCGCGAGTTGCCCGGCAACCAGATATATGAAGATTTGAGAGACAAGAAAAGTACGAGTTCGCGTCCCGGTGCCAGAGGGGATTTTAAATTCCCCGCCCTCACCCTCCGGCCCGGGAAAATCCCGTATAACCTAAACGGCGAGGTAGGAAAGAACAAAAAAAATAAAATTAAATAGCACATTTTTGAGGTAGATTAAATGATTTATAAATATAAAAATATATCATGGGTGGTAAATATTCAGGACGCTGTAGAAGTTACATAATATTTAGATAACAAATTATAAACAATGTGAATAAGCTTATTAAAATTATAAACAGTAATTACATTAAAATGAAGTCAAGGATCTTGTTATTTAGCTTACTCTGTTTACATTCTAATGTCCTTACTGTTTATAATTTTAATAAGCTCATTCACATTGTTTATAATTTGTTGTGTAAATATTATGTAACTTCCACAATTCTCTATATCTTTTTGTATCTTGGCCGTTCTAGCCCTGAAGAAGACCTGCAAAGACCCGACTGTTTTAATCGCTTATAAATTTTGAACGAGTGGCCCGATTTAGTTGATGTTTAACGGGGGGCTTCTAAATTCTATCATCCCATCTCTTAGTGATATATGGTTCCAAAGCTGTTTTCGCTGTTCGAAGATAAATAAATAAAAATTAAAATTTTCAAGTCGCATTAATAATATTGTTTTCTTTAAAGGAATGCAGATGATAACTATAGCTTTTAGTTGAAATCCAAGCACCCATCGCATGGTTTTATAAAAAAAATGTATGCTGCCGGTACCCTGTTTGCAGTACGGGTTTTTCATGGAAGTCTTGCATGGGCCTCTATACGATGATATTTTACTACTGAGTTGGCACCCCTTAGGATTCGGCGCCTGAAACAGCCGCTCTATTGCCTCACATTTTTTAAAATCAACCGTAGATACGCAAACGAAATTAATTAATTAATTCTCTTGCCTGTGCCTACAAGTTCGATAGTAGGAACAGTTCAAGATATGAAATAGTGAGATATTTGATTTATCAAGATTTCTTCCAAATTATGTCGTCACTGATAGTTCTCCACCCAAAAATTACCTCTGGAACCGATCTTTGAAGTAGATAGGTAAAGTAGTATAGGTAAGACTCACGACGTCTAAAAAGAATGCAAGAAAAAAAAGTCATTACTCTCCTGTAGAGCATATTTTGCATTACACAACAATGAAAGTTTCAGACT